TATACACCACATCTTCTTTATCCAGTGATCTGTTGATGGACACTTAGATTGCTTCCATACTTTGTCTATTGTAAATAACGCTGCTATGAACATTGCAGTGCATGTATCTTTTCAGATTAGTGTTTTCATTGTTTCAAGATATATACCCAGCTCTGGAATTGCTGGATCATATGGTACTTCTATTTTTAGTTTTTAGAGGAAACTTCATACTGTTTTCCGTAGTGGCTGCATCAATTTAAAATCCCCCCAAGTGTGTACTAGGGGTCCCGTTTTCCCCCATCCTCAGCAGCATTTTTATTAGTGGTCTTTTTGATGACAGCCATTCAGTGTGAGGCGATACAGCATGTCGATTCTGATTTGTATTTCTCTGATTGGCGACATGTGCTTCTGCTCATCTGCTTGTTGGACATCTGTATGTCTTCTTTGGGAAAATGTCTATTCAGATCTACTGCCTATTTTGAAATTATTTTAAAAATATGTAGTTGTATGAGCTCTTCGTATATTTTGGATTTTAACCCCTTATTGTATTTTCCCCCATTCTGTAAGTTGTCTTTTAGTTTTGTCAATTTTGTTTGTTTTTGCTGGGCAAAAGCTTTTAGGTTTAATTAGGTCCCATTTGTTTATTTTTGCTTTTGTTTCCTCTGCCTTAGAGAAAGATCAAAATAATATTGATATGATTTATGTCAAACAGCATTCTGCCTGGTTTTGTTCTAGGAGTTTTATGGTTTCTGGTCTTATACTTGGCTCTTTAATCCACTTTGAGTTTGTTTTTGTAAATGGCTATAGATAATGTTCTGATTTCATTCTTTTACATGTGGCTGTCCAGTTTTCCCAGCACCACTTATTGAAGACACTATCTTTTCTCCACTGTATATTCTTGCCTCCTTTGTCATAGATCAATCGACCATAAATGTGTGGGTTTATTTCTGGGGTTTCTATGCTGTTCCATTTATCTAGTTGACTGTTTTTTTGGTGTGCCAGTAGCATACTGTTTTGATTACTGTAGCTTTGTAGTATACCCTGAAGTCAGGAAGCGTGATTCCTCCATCTTTGTTCTATCTCATTGTTTTGGCTTTTTGGGGTCTTTTGTATTTCCATACAAATTTTAAAATTATTTGCTCTAGTTTTGTGAAAAATGCCATTGGTATTTTGACAGCAATTATATTGAATCTATAGAATGCCTTGGGTAGTTCGGTCATTTAGAATATTAATCCTTCCAATCCATGACATGATACGTTGCATTTGTTTGCGTCATCTTCTTTCATCAGTGTCTTATAGTTTTCCAAGTACAGGTCTTTCCCCTCCTTAGTTAGATTTATTTCTAGGTATTTTATTCTCTTTGATGTGACGGTAAATGGAATCATTTCCTTAATTTCTCTGACTGCTTGTTGTTAGTGATAGAAACACAGTAGATTTCTGTATATTGATTTTGTATCCTGCAACACTGCCCAATTCATCCATAAGCTATAGTAGTAGTTTAGTAGCATCTTTAGAATTTTCTATGTAGAGCATTGTCTGCCAACAGTTACAGCTTTACTTCTGGCTTTCTAATTTGGATTTCTCACTTCTGACTGACGTGGCCAGGACTTTCATCACTACATTTGTACAGAAGTGGTGAGAGTGGGCATCCTTGTCTTGTTCCTGATCTTAGAGGAAATGCTTCCAGATGTTCACCACTGAGAATGATGTTAGCTTTGGGTTTACCAAATATGGCCTTTATTATATTGAGTTATGTTCCCTCTGTACCCACTTTGTAGAGAATTTTTAATATAAATGGATGTTGAATTATGTCAAAAGCTTTTTCTGAGTTTATTGAGATAATTGTAGGGTTTTTATTCAATTTGTTTATATGGTGTATCACGTTGATTCATTTGTGGCCATTGACTCATCCTTGCGTCTTTGGGATAAATCCCACTTGATGATGCTTTTAATATATTGTTAATGCGGTTTGCCAATAGTCTGTTGTGGATTTTTGCGTCT